AGTTGGAGATCTTTATGCATTTTGCAAAAATATGTCGACGTCGGTGTCTTAGTATGTGCTGTATTTAGTATAAGGTCATCTGGAAACTTGTCTGTTAGTTTAGTTTTTAATATTATTTGTTCTCATGCGAAAGCATTCAGCTTAATATGCTTAGAATTCAGTTTGGTTCTGCTTGTTTAGTATGTTTCCTCTGCCCAGGCATGTATGCATGCATGGCTTATTTCGTTTTTATTTCAACAAAATTTCTCGCTTGCGTATAGATGGTGGTAATTATACCAATTTGGAAGAAGGATGATGATAATAGAGAAGTCCCCAATGCTGCATAATTGGTCAAAGAAGCTCTGCAGGCTGCAGGGAATAAAGTTAAACTTGACGGCTCTGAGCAGAGAACCCCAAGATGGAAATTCAATTTCTGGGAGATGAAGGTTTGTCCTGAATCTTAAAGATAAAGCAATTTGTAACCTTTGGTGTGTTGCTTTTGGCATACTATGACTCGAAATTAACTTAATTATTTATAAGCTCTCGTAATTACAGAAGCTAAGCAACCATCACATTTTAACCGTTTCATTGTCTAATTGTTTGACTTGCACCAGATTTGACAGGGATGTTTACCTAATATGAGTTCCAAAGATTGAGGAAAGATAAGACCAAAAGTTGACCTTTTCTTGTGCTCACAGTGCTTATTGTTTGTTTTGAGTGCTTATACCATTTCGTGCATGGCTAACATATTGGTTCTCTTGCGAGAAGCTGTTTATTAAATTAGTTATTTGAAGATTAAAACGGCTGCATGTTATTGTTCTCTTATTGTCAGTCACCTCAATAACAAGCCTTCGTTTTATAGGGAGTCCCTTTAAGGATTGGAATTGGTCCTCATGATGTTTCACGCCAGAGTGTGGTTGTATCTAGAACAGATGTTCCTGGAAAGCAAAGGAAGGTTTTCGGGATATCCATGGAGCCTTTTGAATTTGCTGGCTTATGCGACGGACAAGTTGGGTGAGATACAGTCATCTTTGTTGAGGCAAGCAGAATCTTTTCCGGATAGATGCATTTTCTTGCTCTAGGGAAAATGGGCGAGAGGTCCTTGGTCGGCTAGGTATGTGTACTTTTGAGTTATTTTAGTAATGTAGTTGTTAATTCTATAAAACAAACTGTTGAGGAAAATTGCATTCTGATTCTAATATAATGACAGCTGCAAATTATTGCACAGTAACGAAGAAGAGTTAAAAGTAAAACAAGAAACCGGCGCAACCATCAGATGCTCTTCTTTTGAGCGGCCGCAAGGGATTAAAAGATGCTTGATGACTCGCAACCCTGCCGAGGAAGTTTCCATTTTTGCAAAGTCATAAGGTTTCAGGTTTCGCTTGGAACACAAGCATCCAACCGATATTGTTCAAGACAGATGTTATCTGTGGTCTGTTTCGTCGTACTTTCTTCTTATACCCTACAGTATATTACACCAGTTGTTGTAGCATACCATTCTCCGTAAAACGCCTGTTCAGTTCGTTTGCCGAATGTGTTGTAGTTTACACCAAGAAAAGAAAGTATAATACTTGCAGATGTTCCTTTCAAACCTGGTTGAGAGAATCCGTTTTATTTTTGGTCACAATGTAGAAGACAAATACAAATATGGTCACGAACTTTAGAAGCCCAAAACTTTAGGGGCTCAGAAGCAAAAGTCAAAACTTTAGGACCAGTTGCGTACGCCGAAAGCGATTCCGAGGGTTCACATATGATTGGATTGACTGTGGAGTCCATCTTGGTGGAAGGATTTTTAGCTAGATAGCGACATCGTCATTTGTTGTTACTAATATATTTGTTGTAATATGATTGGACGATACGGTGAAGTTGTAATATGATTAGACGATACGGACCATCTTGCATTCCGGCCATACCGCCACCTTTTAGTGCCACCCGATGAGTCTTGGCCGAGCAACCACGTGGTGAGTGTTCGACCCAGAAAACTCTTCGGGACGACAAGGTTGATAGCCTCAAAATTACAATGTGTAATACTATGCGTATTGTAATACCACGTCACGGTGCGATTTAATTTCTCTTATATAGTGGGGGCCGCAGTTGGAAGATGAGATGGACGACCAAGATGCTGTTTGGCTGTTCCCTTGGACAATAGGGGAAAGAGAATCGTTTGTAGACTTTTAGGGAGAGTGAGGCCCACTGGGCTTTCGCTTCTTGTGGGTGGGGTTCTTTCCGGGGAATAAAAGTTGAAAACGCGTAGGAAATTTTGGAGGATAGTGGAGATTTCCTTCCTCTTTTTATTTTTTATTTTCTTTTTCTTTTTACAAAAGAGGTATTCGCTAAATTCTCACCACATTAGTTGTCAATTACCCAATAAACTTTAATTTTAATGGATTATTCTCTGAATTTTTATAATCGGGCAATTTCTTTATCAACTTTAACTTTAGCCGATTACCTCTTGAATGCTTAGAATTGATCAGTTTCTAATAATGAATTTGTTGAGATGAGAAATTAATTTTCTTATTTAATTTAGGCCTTGAATTGAAATATGTGAACCCAGATGGTCATGTGAATTAAGTCACAAGAAAGACTAATGAAATGACATCATAATCGTAACATGATGCTGAAAAAAGTAAGACTATGTGGAGAAGATTCATAGTCGAGGAGTTAATTGACTAAAAATAATTGGCCAAATATAAAAGTTCAGAGTAAACTTTGCTGCTCCTTACAAGTTTTGGAGAAAAATATACAAATACCTCTATGAGTAATGTTAGGGAGACTAAATTTGTAGACAATTTTTTTTGTAAACTAAGTGACCTGGAAGTTGATGATTGAATTATTACTCAAGTATTGATAAACATACTCATTTTCTATTGGTAATACATCATTTAGTTTTATTTTGTCTAGCATTACTCCTACCATAATATTTTTATTATTATCAGATTATAAAAAAAAAAAAGTTTCAACCCAATTTTTGGGCTAATAAAAAGCAGTCTCAAGTAGGGAAACGCGGGATGGAAGGCAGAAAAGGCTTGGCTTTGTTTCACAGAAAAAGGACTAAGGAAATTGAGTTTCCGTAATGGCGATGCTGGCGTCAGTTGACCTGGTTGAAAAATATAGAATATATAAGGGTGATTCCGCTAGCCAAATCGCACTAATGCGATTCATTCGCCCTACTATCCTACGGAGCAATTCTTCCACCTTTACATATGAGTTTTCCCATTCGATCTAATGATGTAATGGAGGAACATCTATCAACTTAGGGCAACCGAGAAAGCTTCGCATCAGAACCCTTACCCTTAGCTCGTTGCTAGGTCATCAACCCCAGTAACCCAACAGGGTAAATAAATAAAACCAACCACATTAGTTTTATTTTGTCTAGCATTACTCCTACCATAATATTTTTATTATTATCAGATTATAAAAAAAAAAGGTTTCAACCCAATTTTTTCTATATATGTAAAGGGAGAAAGTAAAAGGGGTGAAGTTTTCATACCGCCCTTCTCCCACTAGAATCAATATCTTCTACACATACAAAGGGAGAAGGCAAAGTGCGTGAAGCTTTCATAATATTTAAATTGCCCTTCTTCCATTAAAATTTCAAAAAAATATATTCACAAAAAAAAAAAAAAAAAAAAAAACCAATGTAGGGTGGATAGTAAGTTCATTATTTTGTAAAATATAATTTAATAAAAAATTATAAAAAGAGAGAAGACAAAGATGGTGAAACTTTTATAATGCCCAAATTGCCTTCTCCCATTAAAACTTAAAAAAAAAATGTAGGAAGTTAGTAAGTTCATTGTTTTTCGAAAATACATATTTTAATAAAAGATAAAAAATATCAAAATATCAAAATTAAATAAAAACATAATCTTATACAATTAAAAAAAGAACAAATCTACGCATGTAGCAAGAGATGGTATACAATTAAGCGCATCTGATTCCTAACCTTTTTTTTTTTTTTTTTTTTTTTTTATAAAGGAGATTTCATGATACAAAAACTCAAATGATGTAACAAACTTTTTTTTTATTTCTTAAATAATGTAGGGATTCCACATATGGATGGGGGAATCGATGATATTATTAGTTTAATTGTAATTGAAACATCTCAATTAAGTTAAATATTTTTCATACGTGATTTCCTAATTTTTAACAAATATGCTATCAATTAATTCTTAAACACATGAAAGGTTAGGTTTTGTCACAAAAATTGTGGTAAAAAATCCAGACTTTCTTCTCTTCTCGATATTAGGATTCATGACTTATTCGAGTAATCAATAAAAAGTTGAGTATGAAAAAAATTGTCGAAAATGGCACTGTTTGACTAGTTACACAAGAAAATTTGTAAATATATAATAAAAGAATAATAACTCGTTTATACATACAAAATGCCATTAGGTATAAAGTATTAATAATTTTTCTTTTAAAAAATGACCAGTTGGTGGTTTCGCTATGACAATTCATCTTTTCAAAGGTGAAAGACTTATAATTTCAGCACTAGCATCATGAATCGAACTAAGAACGTGTCATGTAAAATACAGGTTTACAATTTGTTCTCGACCACTAAACCTCCCATAATGATTAAATTGCATAATATTATGAGGGAAGGAATCTGAACTTGCACTAAATTCATAAACATTATTATTTTTCGTCACTTTAAAGCGCGGTATGCCAATCGAGAATCCAATATCCGAAAATTGATGAGGTCCAAAAACAAACATAAATTTTTCCAAGATGGTAAATTAGTATAAATTATGGGCAGTACTCTCCTTCATAAATCAAAATTCACAGATATCCAAAAGTCAAAATCGCCCTTCAATTCCTAAAGAAATTGGCTCACTATTTGCCTATTGACTTCGAGATTCGTGTTTAAATTTTTCATTTTTCTTTATTCCTGTTTTCTTTCGGAATTTTCGGGAAATTAAAGGGTATTTTGGAAAAAAAAAAGTAAGACGGAGGGCAGTGTCGGCACAAGAACCACAATAAATACGTGGTCTGAGTGATCTTATCTGTGCTCTCTCATCCAAACAAGAAAGAAGTAGGGCGAAAGATATAACAAAAGAGTGGATTCAATCGGCGGCGGCAAGGTGCAGCGATTGTTCTCCAAGGGACCGGTAGTCGACGGCCCATATTTAACGATCAAGATCGGGACCGAAACTCATCATCTCTGACTGAAATCTAGAGGAAGAAGAAGAAATCTGATTCGAAAACCGTTTTTTCAATCGCTTTCCTTCGGTGATATTATGAAGGATTTTGATCTTGTGAGGGGCGGGAATCTCTTCGTTGTTGATCGATTCGATTCGTTTTGAGATCACCGCGGCGGAGGCGGCGGCGGATTTGTTGAGAGTTTGGAAGAAACAGGTATTAAAAACCCTAAAAGCTTTTGATAATTTGCGTTTCGCCATTTTTTTGTGGTTAAATTTTATCTTTATCGTCATCAACCATCGTCTTCAAGAAACTTCTGCGAAAGCGAAACGATGAGGAGGCTTCTAATCGGCGCTGGATTTGTGAAAATCGCCGAGTTATTGGGCTCTGTAGTCACTGTCTTTGATAAGGAGCTAGTCCGATTGCAGATCTTGAAGGACTACAGATTTTTCTTCAAGTTGCCCCGCGGGACTGGACTGGATTTCATGGAGCTTAATCCTGATGGGCTCTAGGATTGTATAACCATAGGTAGAGGCATAGGGCCGAGATCTACGAGTCTTTCTGATGTCGATTTCGATCGACTGCTGCTGCCAAATCATGGTATTTGAATTGAAGGGTTTCGCTGTCGGCGGTTGAGGAATAAACTAGTTGGGTTTTTACCCAGGAGCCATGCCTTTGCTGTGGTGATAAAATTGATGATAGGGAATCTGAACAAAGTAGAATTTTTAGTTTGATATGGCTGGATCTGTGATGGGTCATGGGTGATCTGCTTTGTAGCAGAATCTCCATGTCCTTGAACTCCATCATTCCATTACCGATTCATCTTGTATGTGCCCATCGGTATGGATCGAAGAACCCTTCACAAAATATGGAAGAATTTTGAATCTACTAGGCAAAAGTTTTGTGCGTCTGTCCTAAGTCTTAGTTCTTTCGAGGCACGGAGACTGCCTGCTCTTGTTGCTGGTGATAATGAGCAAGACAATTTGAATTTCTTGTTAGTAATAAAAACCTTTGTGATTAATCTCTTTTTTGGGCACATAAACCCAGTCTACTAGATTGAATGAATTATGTTAGAAGAGGTATATTTGTTGTCCTAATACTATATGGTTGCAAAAAGAAACCCGATTTCGAGTATTAGGGACTTGCTAATGTTCAATTTGACATTCTGAACCAAGGGATTTTTTGCAGTCCTACAAAACTGGGTAACACGATCTGCCTCAAGGTAATGGCCTGTGGAGGCTGTGCTGGCAGTCTAGTTATCAGCTTTTCGGCTCAATAATAGATTTTGAGTATTCATTTGTTTATCAGCTTTTGTTTCAATGTTAACTGTTGTTTCTTTTTTATGGTCTAATTTCTGTGCTGATCTTCATCTTTGCTGATTTCAGGTGCGTTGGGTGGAAAAACTCCAGAGACATATTTCCTTTGGAGGGTTCTTAGAAAAGTTATCAGAGAGTTCTCATCAGAAACCAAATCACTGTAAGCATCTAGGATTTGTGATGTTTTTTACTTGATAGTTTCTACAGTTTAGTTTGTATTTATATTCTCATAATCTAATTTAATTCTTGATTTTGAATGGCACGGCAATTTATTGACCTGTCTCAATTATTTTATCCTGCACTTTCTTACCATGTATTCCGAAGCTTTTTTGCAATTTTAGACCGAGTAGTTATATTTATTTCTTTCTGGTTTGCAGACTCCTTCGTGTGCTTGCACTGGGGGTGTACCCACCTCTCTGGTGCAAAGTGGAAAGAAAGTAAGGACTGCATCTTGCAGAACTTGTGGTGGCAGACAAACAGTTGATGGGAGTACATCTCTTTGCCAAGGCATGATGAATACAGTACGTGTAGAACTTACAAAATCTATTAGTCCTTACCTGAACTGGAAGGTTTCAAAGGGTTATCGGAGTGCATCAAGGCGGTCAAGGAAAGCTGTTGATAAAAGCAAAAAAATGGGTGCAGAGCTAGCAGAAAAAAGTGCTAGAAGTGCATCAGAAACATCAGTTTCTGATTCAGAGAAGGTTAATGCTTCACAAGTTTTCCTTTGTTGTTCTTTTGTACCAAAATTTCTAATGAGAGTGCTTTTCTGATAAGTGTTTTTTCATGTTGCTGATATAATTTTCTGTTTTTCAGCTTGGTGTGGCTGTACTTGGGAGACGATTTGGTGACAAAATTGAGCATGTACCGATTAAGAAAAGGAGACTTATGGTCCGGTCTCCGTCACCCCCTCCACACCTTGAAGGCAACAAACCACTATTGGATGGTCGTCATTCTTCAGGTCACAAGTCTTGTCCAAAATCAGTTGGCAAAAAGCATCCCACAAGGAGTGATCCTTCTACCCTGACTAGGGTCTGTCATAGTGCCAGTAGTGGTGCTAATGAGAATTTGAATGATGTGACAAATCAAAAGCATGGTGACGTGGATGACTTTTCTGGTATTGAGATATTGGCAGATGCTGCCTGCAACAACATCATAAATGATGACATCAATCATGTTGTGAAGAATCCACTAGGTGAAGATTCACCTCTGGATGAAAAAGATGCATCAACTTCTGCACGGCCTTCGGAGCAAACAACCATTGTGTCAACTTCTTTAACAGTCATGAGAACTGCTTCAGAATTTTCAGAAGCAAGAGATGCATCGGTCTCTGCAATCTTGGAAGAAAGTATTGCATCATTGGAAACAGTACATTCATCCCCTAAAGATGTACAACGAGAAGATAAAATAGGAAGCGCCTCTTTTGAAGCTGATGGGTTCAAAATTAATACTAACAAAGCACTTGACGAAGCAGAAGCAAGATTGAGTTCCTCTAAAGATGTTAGGTTCCACTGGGACCTAAATGTTAGTATGGATGCTTGGGAGGAACCTTGTGATTTGGCGATTGCTGATCCTAAAACAACTGCTGCAGATGATATCTCCATGGATAATAAGCAGGGTGCAAACCTCCAAGTTTCAGAAGCTAATGAGATACCTAAGGAGGAAGATGCAAAGAATGACATTGCAAGCACCGTGAAACCTCTGTCTGACAATGAGGAACAGGGATTGAAAGCGTGCCCTGAAGTTGAGTTGAGTTGTGGTAAATGTGTTTCTCCTGATAACGCTTTGGGATCTTCAAAAGATTCTGGTAGCGGTGCTAAAGCTTCCTCTCAGGATGCGAGTGTAGATGTATGCATTGATGGTTCCCCTTGTGCTGGATTTGATAACATCGCAGTCACAGGCCCTGTGTCTGAGGAGACCGATAAAACCCCAATTTCCAGCTTTTCTGATGAGCATGTGGCTGGTGAACTACCAAGTGAAACTGTCTGTTCAGGAAGTGTTAAGGTTGAAAACCCTGCTTTAGCTTGTGTGCCAGAAGGGGCATCTTGTGAGATTGAAAGCACTGTTCTAGATGAAGATGGCAAGGGCTCTGGTGCAACATCTAGCGTCCATGATGATCCAGAATCTCTGGAAGAGACGATGGGAGTAGAAAGCTGTCACTCACTCGCACCCGTTCGCCTTGATTCTGATGATAAATCTGCATCAGGTGCATCTGTTGGAGAAGGCCGGTCGCTGGTGACTATAATTGCAAAGGAGCCTGTTGAAGCTGCCTCTGACACTCATACTGTCGATTCTCTGCCAAATGATGGTTCTGAGGAAGTAATGCATAAACCTTCAGGGAATCCCATGACGAATCAAGTAGCTGCTGCTGGGTCCTCCACTCTTGAGCAATGCCACTATGGTGAAGATAGCTCACGTAGCTTGGATAGAGTAACTAAAGATCCTTCCAGTGATGGTTATGACTTGAATACTCGTCAAGATGATAAGGATTACATGGTTGGCAAGGGAAACACTCTGGAACCTGAAGCTGGTTATGACTCCCAGTATGAAGATGGGGAGCTGAGGGAGTCGGATGTACCATATTGGGAGGAGAATGAAATTGATGATGTAGAAGCTGAATGTGTTGACTATGGTTCTGATACATGTGACAGTGAAGCTGCTGATGACTCTATATCAGGGAAAGTTGGAATGGGACCTGAATGCAGAGAAACAGAATTATTTGGGGAGTCAAGGAAAATCGACAGGAACATTAAGCTTGTGAGAGGATTGAGTCCAGGATCTGATAACATGTGTGACAAAAATGAACATGCTTTGAGACAATGTTCTGTTGGTTCGAAGACAAAAACTTCAGGATCTGATCAACTACCTTGTGATTCTGAAGCTTCTTCAAACAGAACTGCGGAAGCAATTGAGGGCTGCACAGCAAGGAGACATGCTGTTAATGGCTTCGATGGCTATGATGCCAAACATTCTCCTGCCAATGTGGTTGGGTCAATGGCATCTGACTCCTCAAATAAGATGGGTACTGAATGTGCAAGGCGGAGGAGGTAAACTCTATTGGTTCTTGTAATCTTTAATGCAACTTTGGTTTTTCTATCTTGGTTGCTAATTATTGGTTTGCTTCAGGTTGGGCAACTTTGATTCTATTCGCTCTGAGGAAGCTGGTTCTGATCAGTCCATGGGAAGGGAAAAGTATGACTCACGTATGCAGGGTAAAAGCTTCAGAGGTGTGGTTTATTCTTCAGGGAGTTATTGGGATTCCAAGCGACGCGAATCACCCACTTATCATGGTTCCTTTGGCTCTGGACGCTGTAGGCCAAGAAGTGTTGTTGAGAACCATGGATATGAGATGGAATCAGACGAAACATTTTCAGAAGCACCAGGAGTTCACAACCGTGTTCGCAGGCAAGCTATAACTTTTTCATCAAATCGTCCGTATCAGGGATCGTTTAGAAGAAGATCGCCATCTGAAAGAAATGATGCACACAACATACATAGGGGAATGATACCTATGAGAGATACAAGTCCTGATAGGCGGAGGTTTAGACGATATCCACAAGGGGTTAACAGAGGCATCAGGGAGGAGTACCACAGGCCCATACCCGATGATCCCAACGAATGCTCTTATAATGTGCCACGACGAACAGCCAGGAGAGAACAAAGCGCTTCACCTCCTGGCAGAGGACCCGTATATTATAGTAGACCCTACAAAAAGCCCCAGTCTAGATGCAGAAGTCGCTCTCCTCTTGGATGGAGAGAACTGAATGATATTTCAAGACATCGTGGGAGCAGGTCTCCTGATTATAGGTTTGATTCCAATATCGAGAAGCTGAGGGTGCCTTTCCAGAAGCAAAATTTCGGAGGCAAGTATGAAGTAGGGTTCGTGTCCTCACCAAAGCGTCGTTTTTCCCCACAACAGAATTCCAGATGGTTTGATGAGTCAAGTACAGGTGTAGATCACAATTTCAGGGGCAGGAGATTTGTGGGAAGGCGGTTCCAGCCAGGACAGAGGTTTGACTCAGAGCGTTCTTCTCAGAGATTGAATTCAGATGGTTACTCTGAATCCATGATTCGTCCAGCAAAATTCTCCGAGTTGCCCAGTGGTGGTAGGGAGTATAGATACGAAGGTAGCGACGATGATAGAAGGAGACCTGGTGGAAGATTTGAGATCGTTCGCCGCGTGAGGCGTTTTGATTCAGATGGTGTTGTGCGTCAGTTCCGTTTTGATGAAGACCGTTTTGCATCTCGCAACACACAGAACTACGATGAATCTGACAGCAGGGCAACCGAGAGAAGGCCTCGAGAAGCTTACATAGGAGAAGTAGCGAAGAGGAGAGTAAATTAAGGTTCCAACGCTGACTCGGTATTAAAACTCCAGCTTCTGGTGCAGCTCAACTCATTTAACCTGCAACATACGTAATTCTGGGAGAAATCCAACATCACCTTTGCCGGCATTTCTTCAAATCGATGCGTTACTCAGGCGGATAGGAGTTCTCCCGAATTTTTTTTTTCTGGTGATGGTTGAGCCGAAATATTCGTGCTCTTCCCGGCGGCGGCCGGCGCTGTGGAAGCTACTCTTACCATTCCAATTGCGCTTAGGCAAATTTTTTTTTTAGGTTAGGGCCTGATGTTGCTTTGGTTCATCTTGATTTTGTTTCTTAATTTTATTTTAGGCATTTTTTAACGATTAGTGAAGAATCTCAAGCTTTTTAGTTTCAAGGCTTCCCTCGATGCCGGTCCCTTCTCGTTGCTGTTTGCTGTGCACTTTTTCTTCGCTCTCTCGAGTTATAATTTTCCTTTGCCTCCTTGTCACATTTGTAAATGCAAGTTTCTAGTGTGAATAAATTAATAAAGAATTAATGGACCGAAATTAAAGGGGTGTGCAGAGCGTGTGAAATTCATTTCCCTTGACTTTTATCTATTACTATTAGACGATGAAAAAATTAATGAAGCTTCAGTTGTTTACGGCCCTAATTAATGAAGAAATTAATGAAACTATGATTCTTTTTCTTTGACTATTGCCTGTATAAGTAAAAATAAAAAATAAAAAAAATAAAGGAAGCTTGAATAAAGCTTATGCAATTTAATACGTAGTGAGAACTAATTAATTTTTCGTGTAAATTGAACAATTCTAAACTAGGATGAATTGAATTCGTTCTCTTAATATATGCACAATCGCAATTTCTCCACAATGATGGCTAAACTCTTGTAGTAAATCCCGAATCAGTGAACCATATTACTGTGACGGTATCTCAAATCAGCGTTAAGATGCGGTGGCTTGCTTGGTGTAGGATAAGTCCTCAATCACCTATGACAACATTTTCCTTTTCTTGTATTTTGAGGTTTACCAACTGAAGCTCAGGGAATGGTAATGAAGGTTGTTGGCCAAGCCAGATGAGCAAATTGCAGCCACTTCTTGCCTCATCTTTCTTGGGCCACTAACAAGAACCCCAATGCTCGAACCTTCACGCTCAGATAGTATCCCTACAAAAATAATTAGATGTTAAAACCCTAATCTTTCTCCAAACTCCAATCATCATGTGAAAGAAAAAAAATATGTAACTCACTCTTAAGATCTGGTCTTCTATCATAGTGCACGGTTGTTGACTCGACGAAAGAACGGTGGGGAAGGTTTTCGAGTTCTTGCTCAGCAACGGCAAAGCGCCCGCTCGGCGAAGCAGTTGTCGGTGTTGGTGTGTCCAGGACTTGAATCTGCCCCATCTCCTTGAGGGTCTGTTTCTTGTTCCATAAGAAAACTGCTGTTGCAGTTGTGGCTATAGATACGCATAAAAATAACATGTTTAAGGCAGATCTAGCTGAGTCAGAATATATCATGCTGGAGTTGTGGTCAATTGGGTAGATGTAATATCTTGTGAGGATGCCCATCAGCACAAGAAAGATGACGAAAGACGACGATATGATCATTCCAAGCCAGAGCCAGCTATTTTGGCCTAGAATTGCAGAAACCGGCGCGTCTGAAGGGTTCGGCTTGAACCAAATTGTTTGGAGGGGTTTGTAGGATTCTGACATGGGTTCTTTCTCTCTTGTCACATAAGCTTCGATTTGCAATTGCAAGCGAGAAATGTCGAGGTTTGTGCCGGAAACGGGAAGGATTAGGTCCAACATGGTGAGGTCTAGTGTTTTCCTGAAAACAGATATGAGTAAAATTTTTGGAGCCTTGCCGCCTAAGTTATTGGCTTCGAAGAGGAGCTCACGGATGACGGAGATTAACGGAGTAATACCGCTTCCTCCGCTCACCATCACTATCGTGTCGTGCCTGCACCGGCATTTTCACCATGTTAGAGTTAGCACACACATTTGGCATATGAAAATTTGGGAAAAGGGTTGACAATGTGAACACCTTAGCATGTTGCTTGAGGCAGGTCCATACGGTCCTTCCACCGAGACTTCTCGGCAGTCTGCAGGCTGAGAGGATGACAGTTCCTGATACAACTTCTGAGACCAATTTCCATCGCTTTTGATGACAACACTCAGCTTGTCATGATCGAATTTGCTGCTAGAAGTAACACTAAAAGGATGCCATTGCAGCTTTGAAATACCAGGCACATTTACAAACACCATGCTTGTTGGAGAATAATTCAGTCCTATGATCAAGTTCAATAAAAACAATTAATGGGAAAGCTCGATGTAGTATTCATTTAGCTCTCGTTTGGTGCCTAGGATTGTATCGTCTTTGTTTGCTCACCTGGACTCTTGGAGAAGTTCAACTCAACCGCCTCACAGGGAAGAACACGGGCTGAAACCAGGCGAATTCTACGCTGAGATTGCAAGAAACGTAAGAACCTGTCAATCAGGAAGAGGTAAAAGCCCGGGAGCATGATGCACGCATAGGAGAACCCCACGTGAAACACAAAGAAGACAAGGAAGACAATGTAGAGATGGTGAGTGTATAAAAAGAGCTCGAAGATCTTGCGCCTGATGGGAGGGATGCTCATAGCCCACATGGCTAGTCCTGCAAGCAGAGCAACTTCTCCTGCCACATTCGAAACACCTACCTTGTTCCATTTCAACATCTACACCGGCACGAAAAAATTTGCTTCATTGTGAGAATGGCTCATTTCTAAATTGCGTTTTGAAGTTTCAGAAGTTAAAAATTACCTCTGAAATTTGATTAGTGCTCCCCCAATAGACTACGTAACATAAACCGTGAGCCGTGAAGAGCGTCATGACAAGATGCCCTAGCCAGATATGGTACTTGATGCTTGCCTCTGATGTGAGGCCAATGATCTGCAGAATGGAAGAGCATCTGCTCACAGGGAAGAAGAGAAAGGCTAGGCCAATGTTCCCAACCATCCCTAGTGTTAGTGCTACACTTCCCAACTTATTTTCCCACCTGCCAAAAAATTAGGACTCGAATTTAGATGAAATGTGGATAAACATAATGGTTAGGGGAAAATTGGCTAATTCCGGAGAAAAATTGAAAGTGAGGTACAAGTTCAGGGGAATTTTGGCGAAATACTAAAAATATAAATGTAATTTTGAACAAATAGAGATTTCTTACACATGCTCTTTCTTGGCTGCAGCCTCCAGGGTGGCATATGCAAACATGTCGTGTAAGTAAGAAGAGATAGACCAGACAAGTAAGGCAATGAACATCACCAGGAAAGAAAGCTCTATCCAAGAAACAATTCCTAAAGGACCTTTCACCAGCGCAGGCCGATTCCATGATGCCCGGTATGATTTTTTCGCCCTGCTAATCAAAGTGAAAATATAAGAAAAACGTTACATATAGCTGCGGCATCCCAAGTGTACGTAAGTTTCGCTCGAGAAAGAGGGTATACCTTTGGTTGTTAATGTCAACATTTTTGTTTCCCATGTGGAGCAATAAGCAGCCCATGGTTGCTGTAAATAGGATGGGGAATGTGTAAATAAGTATGTCTGCACCTGCAAAAACATCAAGCAGAAAAATGCAGTAAGACTAAATGTTTTTTTTTTTTTTTTACCAGACGATATTCTGAACTACTCTAATTTATGAGATTTCGAATTTGAGAAAAGTTGTGGTTTTTTTTATGAAACCAAACTAACCTTCTTGGCCAAAATACGTGGAATCAGTTTTTTTATGAATATGAGGGAACCATTTCAGATAGTAAGTGTTGGTGGGCATGATGATCCAGATCATCATGTACCCAACAAACACCACCATCAGAAGCAGCCTCATGATTGATCGAACGGTCCTCATTCCTTCACCAGAAGGACTGGTTTCTTGTTCCTTCACCTCTGCTGGACTTGAAGTGGAAACCATCTTTCTACTATAGAAAAGAAGTTTGCTTGATATCTTTATATAGCTTGCAATTTTTTAACACGAACTTTTATCTGATTTTTTAACTTTTTGGGAAATGAAAATATTTACAAATTTTGTCCAATTAAAAACACAAACTTAGTCAAATCTTCAGTGAATTCACGTGTAAATTGAATAGAAAAAAAAAACAATATTTTCTATTTATATATAAAGATTCATGGATTTGAGTCTCGGCGTAACGGAATGGTTGCTATTTTGTGAGGTTTGAGTCGTGGAAACAACCTTTTTGCAAAGTAAGGGTAAAGCAACGTCACCCCCCCCCGGGGGGGGACTCGCGTAAAGTGGGGAGCCTTGTTGACTTAAGGTTACCATTTTATATATAAAGATACATTTATCTTAATTTTAATGAAAACACAACGTTGTTTCATTTTACAAATATTATAAATATGAAGCATTTATTCTACAAATCATAAAGATAATGAATAATTTCGATTATAGCATTTGTACAAATTGTGAATGCAAAAGTTGACTGGTAATGTGAAGGCCGGGTGAGCTGGAGTGAAAACCAAATAGAGGTCATTGGAGATGCCGAATACTGATCTCAGTGTTCCTTCCAATGCAGTTGTCAACTTGTCTTTGGCATAAATACATGTCTGCCCATTCCCCAATTCATTTGCATATATATATGTTTGTCTTTTAGCTTTTGATCCAAGTATTTAATCTCTTCCCTTCTGAATTAGTTGATCCTATTAACATTCTAGATCTTAAATTACTCTTAATCAAGAGAATTCATGAATGGATCATCATGAGGTAGTTACTCGTTATCAGAATTATTGATTTATTCGACACATATGAATGACTAAATAGTCTCCAAATCAAATGAATATGCACTTTTAAAAATGATTTTTAGATGATGATAAAAAAAAATAAACGATTACTAATTATGGAGTTTATACGGTTAAATAATGTCACATTGTTGTGGAATGAGGACATTCCTCTTTACTGAAAATTAGGGAGGTTGTGAATCCGTAACAAAATGTAAAACTAGGAACTACATTGATTAGGAGGCATAGTTGATTCCATGCCCGTTTCATATCTCACATCCTTGATTTATTTTATTTTTTAAAATTTATAATACTAAGGGGAGGAGAGGGTTTAAAACTATTAGAATAATTTAAAGGAGAGATGAGTTTCGAACCAAAAACGGGTGGATAGAAATCCAAAACCCTATATTTACTAAGTTATTGGACCACATTCAATATATTATTGAATTCTCCAATGCATAACTTCACTCAGTAAGCAATAGTAAACATTCCAGTTAATTAGCATAGCTTTTAATCATTTTCATTTATTTATAATAACTTAACTAAGAGCTCATGTAATTAACAACCGATCTTCCCGTTCCCATGGAATAACAGGAAATTGACAAAACTTCAAAACCTAAAGACAAATTGATACAATGAAGGCTCGTCCGGCCACTTCGGCCAAAAAATAGTACATAAATAACAATTACAAGGTTTAGAGAGATTATGTGATGTGTGAGTGGAGATATTTTTTAGTGTGCCAAGAATAGTACGCTATACAAAGTGTCATAATACAAATTTGAATTTTTTTTTTTTTTAAAGTATTCAACCACTTGTATTATAACACTATCGACAGTATTTCTGATAGGTAAAAAGGTGCATGAATATATGAATATTCCATTGTTATATACTTCATTGTTTTCTGCAAATGATCAAGTGCCATGGCTGATGATGGCTACATAGTAATTAACATTCATAGTACAATAGATTACAAATTATGATACATCAATTATTTATTTCCACCCAACCAAAAAAAGAAAGAAATTACAAATCTATAAACATTTTACGTTCACACATCTTTAAAGACGACACGAGAGGTGCTGAAAGCAAATCTCATGAATGACAATTATTGAGCGTTATAATAAAGGCAAAATTATATTACACAGCAGTAGTTCAGACTGAAACTGGCATGCATGCATGCATCACCAGTCAAAGCTAATGGACTCGAAGTGCAAATTATCTGCCAAACCAGATGAACAGATTTTGGCAACGTCATGTCTCATCTTCCGTGGCCCACACACCAACACTCCAATATCAGATCCCTCGGCCTCCAACAAAATTTCTAGATTGCAAACAAAAACAATAATTTATCACTTATCCAAAAATGTGTCGTTACAAGAACATAAACATGAAAATGATCGTTAAATTAGCGATACAGAATAAGTTGGATAAAAAGCTTATTAGTGGCAAATAACTCATTAGTTACTAATTAAGACTAGAGGCGCAATTAATTTACTTACTCTTGAGATCAGGCCTTGTTCCATACTGCACCTGGGCTTTTTGAGCAATTAAGGTTTCAGGATGGTGTGGAAGGCCTTCAAGTTCTATGTCATGAGTTGGTACTTCCACATTTTGGATTGGCTTCCCTTCCAAGGCATTTTGTTGTCTCTTGCACCAACGAAGAATTACACTAGATACCAGGAAAATACAAGAACAGACCAGAAACATGTACCAGAGACAGGTAAAAGAGTAGTGGTAAATTTCACCAGTGTTGTGGTCAATCGGGTAAATGTAAAAACGAGTGATAAGTCCCAAAGTAACAAGAAACAAGAAGAATGAGGACGACACTATTGCAGCAAGCCATAGCCAATTGTTTGGACCTAAAACACTAGAAATGGGTGAGGCCAACGAGTCGGTCTTAAACGACACCGTTTGGATGGGCTTCCAAGCCAATGCCGGCAGCTGCTCTGTCTCTCTGGTGACATAGGCTTCAATTTGCAAATCTACGAGGGAAAAATCAAAAGGGGTTGAATAAATAGGAAGCAAGAGTTGTAGAATGGAGAGATCATCTGTGTTCTTGAAGGCACATATAAGCCGCACACGTGGCAAATGGGAATCGGGTTTGGTGGTTTGGAAAATAATTTCACGGATTATGGAAATGAGAGAAGTGATTCCACTCCCTCCACTGAACATCACCAGAGCCTCGTGCCTTAGAAAATGAGATGAAACGGGACCATAAGGTCCTTCGACAGAAGCTTGGATTTGATCCACATTTGAAGAGAGTTGCTTGTAGAGTTTTTGAGACCAACCGCCTTCACTCTTGATGACAACACTGAGATTGTGTGGCTCCATATTAGGGTTTGAAGTCACTGTAAATGGGTGCCATTGCAACTTGGATATGCTTGGCACGTTTATAAACAAGATGCTAGTGGGATTATAATCCAATCCTAAAAGAAAACAGAAAAGTAATGGTATAAATTCACGTGTTATAATATAGGTGAATGACACGGTTCATATTTTTAAAATTTAGGATATAGTATTAATAAACCAATACCTAACACACATGACAATGACACGTAGACTAATGCATTATAATATGAGTGAGCGATAGAATTAATATTTTCCAAACCTAGCTAGGGTATAATAGCTGATATTTTCTAAACCTACCATATAATATGAAATTATGAATAAATAGATGCACATGAAACACGTAACAAGTATAAGTGCGACATATTTAATGATGCCTAAAGCTAAAAACGTTACTAATACACGCGTTATAATATGAATAAGCTACAAAGTTGATATTAAAATATTTAATGACAGATAGTTACCTTGGGTCTTGGCGAAGTTGAGCTCAATGGTACCACATGGTAAAACACGAGCTAAGACTAACCTGGCTCGTTGGTACGACTGTAAAAATCTCAAGTATCGATCGACGATGAAGAGGAAGATGCCGGGGAGGAGCATGCAGAAGTAGGAAGCACCAACATGCAGTACGTAGAAGAAGATGTAGAGTGCATAGAGATGGTGAGTGTAGAAAAACAGTTCAAACATTTTACGCCTAACACGGGGAATGCTTGTGATCCACATGACCATTGCCAACACAATTGCAATCTCCCCAGCTACATTTGATACGTAGGTTTTGCTCCACTGAAGCAGCTGCAATTAATTAACGTCCAGCACATGTTAAAGGGTTGACCATAACCTCTTAATTAAGTAAATTTGTAGTAAGTTAGTTGGACAGGGAGTGCTAGTACCGGTAGTTCTTGTACTACACAAACGTATGTGAGTGGCGGCAATGTGTACTTGCCCGTATTTTTCATAGTACTCAAAGCATATTAAGATTAGGGATAGTTTAGTTGCGATCCTTAATCCCTAACTGTTATAAACTCAAACCTTATATATTTTAGTTTTTATTGAAATTCCTCTCCTGCTACATAAATGACATAATAATAAAAGAGATGCAATAATACCAATAAAGACTCAACTGTTTTTTTTTTTTTTTTTGGCTTTCATTTACACTACCAATTTAATTATTCAAAATTGTTTATGGGTTTTGATAAAATAATAATAATAATAATTGCTTATGGGTGCATTCTAGATTATAGAAAAATGGGATTTTATTTTATTTTTTGAAAATGAGTACATTTATATAATAAAATTTGGCCACATTTTATATATAAAAAATTGGTACACTTACATAAAAACGTGGGTACATTTTATATAGAAAACAATGGGTACATTTTATAGTAAAAAAAACAATGGTACGTTTTAGATTAAAAAATAAATAGATTTTACATTAAAAAATGGGTACATTTTACATTAAAAAATGGTACTTATAAAAAAAATAGGGATACATTTACATATAACAAAGTGGTACATTTGTTAAAAAAAAAAAAAAAAAAGGGTACATCATAAATAAATTATGGGTGCAAATAAAAGGTTAAAAAAATTTATGAGTACAAATAAAAGTTTAAAAAATAAGGGACAAAAAGAAATTAATATATGGGTGCAAATTAAAATTTAAAAGAAAATTGGTACAATTTAAAAAATGGTTGCAAATTAAAAATGGGTACAAACTAGAAATAGAAATATATGATAAAAAGTTTAGCCATAAATCTAATATATCAAGGGTAACGTTTCTAACACTAAATGAATATATTTAAAGAGTATTCTTATTGGCACTCCAAAAATCTGATT